AATACCCATCAATCAAGCTACAGAAAAGTTAATGCTAGCTGTATTGTAATCTAATTTTACAAGGATCTAAACCTAGTTAAAATATAGCTCTTTTAAAGCACAAAACATGGTAAGGTTCCTCTATGTAGACATAGATAGCCATGGTTAAAAACAGTAAATTCTAGCCCCATACATTGCTTTTGGTTCAGTCTGTAAAGGGTGTTTTGCAGCATAAATTACTATTTGTCTGTAACACTTTAAAACAGCTGAAAGGAGCTGCCCACTGCAACTTTAGGCACTTCCAGAATTGGCACTGTTGCTTTAAAGCAGTGTTTTTCAAGCTTGACAGCTTTATGATGTGTGGATTTCACCTCCAAAAATTCCCCAGCCAGCAATGCCTGGGGAATTTTGGGAATTGAAGCCCACAAAGCTTAAAATTGCTAAGTTTGAAAAACACTAGTTTAAGGTGCTCCCCACACAAAGGTGGGTTTCAGCAGGTTCTGACCAGTTTGGGAGAACTGGTAGTGGAAATTTTGAGTAGTTTGGAGAACCGGTAAATACCACCTGACTGGCCCCGCCCCCATCTATTCTCTGCCTCCCAAGTCCCACCTGATTGAGAGGAAATGGGGATTTTGCAGTATCCTTCCCCTGGAGTGGGGTTGGAATGGAGATTTTACCATATCCTTCCCCTGCCACACCCACCAAGCCATGCCATGCCCACAAGCCACACCCACAGAACTGGTAGTAAAAAAATTTGAAACCCACCACTGTCCCCACAAGTGTAAGTTCAGGGTGAAATGCTGTACAATTCACTTCAGGTGCATAGTCCAGAATTCCCTGATCTTTCTGGCTTTGCAGACCAGAGGAGGGAGGGAGGGGAAAATTCCGTTCGAGCAACCGGTACAAGCACAGGTGCAGCTCCGTTTGCACAAACGGCATGCACACGCGCCTGCCGCTCACGCAAATGGAGCACACGTGCATGTGCTCGCTTGCGGCTTGCACAACTGGAGATGCAACTGAACAGGTGCTCCCCTGGCACACTCCTACTGGATTCATATGATCCTTTAGCTCAATCCCATGCGGACAGCTTTACAATGTACCTTTGAAATTCTTCTTCATCAAAAACATACACTGTCATTTTCTGGGCTAAGTTCCAGAATTCCCACACCAGTATTTGTTCCATATATTTTAGCAATTATCTCTCATTCACCTGAGTATTAGTGACACATTGTACGGAGGAAAATATATTCATTAATATCCAAAATTAACCCACTGGGTATAAACAAACAATCCAGAATTAGATTCCCTATTTGAAAGATAACATTTCAACAGTGTTGAATTTTTTTTAAGTAATTGCATTTTGCTTTATGTACAACCCATGTCCTTAATTAAATACTTTTAAAATAAAAAACCTTTCATATATCTAAAAATGTTATATTTATATACCCTTAGAAATGACCATATAAATATATTATAGAAGTTTTAATTCATAAAAGCATACTTTATAAAACATCATCCAGAACTAAAATAATAACTCAATCCTACTAAAAGCCTTAAGGATAATTCATGACATTCCTATTTTTGACAACCTGTAGAATGTTACTATTGTCTTTCTTATTTAGTCTATAAAAGAGTACATTTCCAAAACTGGAGAACTTTTTTTATTTAGTAATTTAAAAAATTGAATATTTATTTAGATTCTCCAGAACGAATCTTAATAATGTAGCGGCTGGTTCAGGTAGATAATAAAATGTAGCTGTTAGAAGATTTAAAGTTCAATTCATCATCTGGTCAAGCAATTATGGATTTATGTGTCTATTCAATGAATTTTTTATTTCTGCATGTGCTGCCGCTGTAGGACTTGGCTTCAGTTAGGAGTCACAAAGCCTGATCGTTGAACCATTTATTCAGCAAAAACTGTAGCCAAAGTTGGAGCTATTAATTATAGATAATAGGACTAAGAAACTTAGACGAATAAAATGATCTGTGTTTATTTTTAATAAAGGGATCAAAAAAGTTGCGAAATCCAGTTCAGAAAGAAGTAATGCTATGCTTCTATTCAGTGTCATTAATTTTAATGGCTTACTGTATTACCTTTCTGCACACAGGACACATTTAAGGAGGAATACAGAACATGAGGAATAATTATTAAAGGATCTTTGTTTCAGGCACAATCTGTGACATCTGCAGGGTGAAAGGTAGTTCCATTGCACACAGCAATTGGAGAGATCTAGATTCAACCTCCCTTTCAACTGTTGACTTTACTTGTGATTTGAGCCAATCATCATCCCTGAGGATCATTACTGTGGAGAAAATTTAGAGGAAGAAATGCTATCCTTGAGCCCCTGGGAAAATGGCAAATGTAAATCTAACAAGCAATAAAATATGTACATAATTAATATTCTGCCAATCAGGAGTTGGGCAAGGATATAACAGAGTGGAAGAGATCTTGGAGATCTCCTAGTCCAAGCCCCTGTTCAAATAGGAGGACCTATACTATTCAGGACAAATGGTTGTCCAATCTCCTCTTAAAAACCTCCACTGATGGAGCACCCATAACTTCTGGAGGCAAGTTGTTTCACTGATTAATTGTTCTCATTGTCAGGAAAGTTCTCCTAAATTCTAGAGTGGATCTCTCTTTAATAATCTTCCATCCATTACTTCTTATCTTGTCCTCCTCTGCTTTGGAGAACACCCTTTTGTCTCTGACAGCCCCTTAATATAGGTCTATATTATAGATACAGGTTTCGCTTTGTGCTTGAATGGCAATGCAATAAGTAATATCTGTCATGATTTTTGCTAAAGATTTTTCAATTGTTCTGAAAAACCGGAGGCTCCCTCTGCTCTCCTGGTGCAAACCTTTTCTGCATGATATGGTGGCCGTTGGGCTGCAAAAGATGCACTTTTTATTAGTAGTACAGAGATACATATGATATGCAGCACTCCATAAAATTAAGAACTACTTGTGCTGTTACAGATAGGGAGTTGTGGTGAGTTAGTTACCTTAAGGATTAAGAGCTGTCTCCTTAAGAGATTGCATTGTGGGAGATGTAGAGAGAGATTGCATTATGGGAAATGCAGTCCATGACATGTGACCATATCTGTGTGTCTGATTGGCCACTGAGGCTTTCTGCCTGGGTTTTAGAACAAAGACCTGGCCATTGTTGGATTACCTTAGAAGAGAGAAACATGCTTTCTGAACAGGGGGACAAAACTATCATCCTTTTACACTAGGAAATGGGAGAAATTATGAAATATGGATGAACCTCACCATGACTCACCATAATTGTAAGTCTATGTGTTCAAGGATTCCCAAATAAATATAATCTGCATGAAAACCCGTTTGCTAGAGTTTATCTGCCTGTTCCCAGTGGAACCAGATGCCTGGGGAACACTACTTTTCATTAAAAAATAGCCTCAGTAAGCAACGAGTAGGGGTGATCAAACACAGTAAGTAAAGCTCTTGCATGGTGAAGAAATATCAGAGTTGCAAGAGGCATACATAGAAATTCACAGATTCACTTAATTCTTGCCTGATGTTTTTGGACTCTACCTTTCAAAATTCTTTACTGGAGTTCCTCAGCTAAATCACTATAGTTTTATAAAGGCAAGTTTTAAACACATAATTTGTTGAAGAAGCTATGATAGAAGCCTGTTAGACATTCAACTTGAAGCCACATACAGTTTATAAAGCAATATGGATTCACTTAACCCATCAAAACCATACAAATGAAATCACATTTTAGTGGGGAGCATGAACGACTTTGTCAGTGAAATATATTATATTTGTTTTTTGTTTAAAAAGTTACAAATGTATCGTTTTAGTTAATAATACTCTGTGTGTAGAGTTTGTTCGTATATGCACTCATATATTACTTAAAACAAAAACAAATTTATTAGACAGCCAATGCCCTGTTAGGTGATCATAAAAGAGATATTTTCTTATTGAAACAGAAAAATAGAAAAACTGGGGGTGTGGGGTAGGTGGGAGCAGAAGCAACTTCCAATTTCCTGCCAGTTTCCCCACTGAGTTTTCTTATTCCTTGTGATAATCTGGTAGGGAGCATTGGGAATCTTTCCTTCCTTCCTTCCTCCCTCCTCTTCCGTCCCCAAGAGATAGGTAAGTGACTACTGCCAGGTGGGGCTATATATGGGGAAGGAAGCAAGGAATTGTGAGACTGGCTTGGAAACTGTCACAAAACATTGAAAATTAAGATCACATGACTGCAGCAACAGCATAGCATAAGCCAGTAGCACTGAAGCAGCCACAACTTTCCCAAATTTCATTCTCTCAAGAATCAGGGCCCAGATTTTGAATACATTCTCTAAGTTAACCCATTTGAGATATCTTGGTTCAAAAACTAGTCCCCTATGGATATACTGTTACACCTAGTTAAAGAGTTTTAGTAGTATATAGATATGAGCACCCTCTTCCATTCTGTCAGCACATCAGAATACAGTCAAACTTCATGCAATAATACTGTGGTCTGTATAAATTCATGCCTGAGAAGAGATTTAGAGAAAAATCTCTAAATCTTTTGATAAAATTCATCCAAAAATTTATCTTCTCAGGTAAAATAAATATTAATTAAAGTATAAAATGACAAGAGGGGCAATAAAAAAAAAGTGAGGATGGTAACCATGAAGGCATAATCACCTACCACTTTTTACATATGTTATGCAAATGATCCTCATAAACAGAGGGATTTAATCACATATTTGTAGCTACTACTACTCAAATGGATGATCCGGGTCTCCCCAGTATGATTTGAATTAAAAAGCTTGCAGCAGAGGATACCCAATTATTAGTTTATTGGCAGCTAGGCTTGAGAATCTGGGCACTGCTCCAATGTAATTTTTCCATTTAATACTTAATTTGTTTCCAAACACAACCTGTCCTCTAAAGCAAAGAGAAACCATTCCAATCTTTCACTAGGTTATCTAGAAGCAGCATTTCATTATAGAATTACTCTCACAATATTAACCATATCTCACAGATAAATTACATTTTATGTTTATAGATGTCATCATATATGGCCGAGAGAATGAGAATTAAGTGTGGAAGATGTGATGCAGAAAGCAGGCTAGAAAAGCCTATCATACTACAATGGAACTAAAATGTTGTAATTCTGTAAGTATAAGCAAGTACTCTCAGTTTTTAACAACTGCAGCTGACTCTTGATAGATAGCAAGTCTATTTATCAAGTTTGTATGCCAATGTCATTTTCTTGGCAGTAATGTGCATCTTCTTCCAGTATGCTTTCTCCTCTCCTAATCCTAAAACAGAATTTCTCAGCTTTAGCAACTTTAAGGTCTGTGGACTTCAGTTCCCAGAATTCCCCAGGTGTTGGTTTCCTGAGCAGCCCATTGCTGCTGGCATGGTGGGAATGCTACAAATATGTCCTGCACCAGATGCACAACTTTCCTTCTTAGGTGCAGTGGTGGGATTCAAGTAATTTATCAACCAGTTCTCTGCCCTAATGATTTCTTCCAACAAGCAGTTTGTCAAACTGCTCAGAAAGTTAACAACCGGTTCTCCCGAAGTGGTGAGTACTGGCTGAATCCCACCACTGCTTAGGTATTACAGGTAGCCCTTAACTTACAACTCACAATTGAGACCAGAACTTCCATTATTAAACAATGGGGTGGCTGAGTGAGTAACATCTGATTTTACAACCTTTTTTGCAGCAGTTGTTAAATGAATCATGTGGTCATTAAGCAAAATGTGGCTGCCCCCATTGTCTTTGCTTGCTTTAACTCCCTAGGAAGGTCACAAATGGCAATCACATAATGGATTGGAATGCTGCAACTGTCATAAATATATACCATAATGTTGCCATAATGTACCTGAATTTTGATCATGTAACTGTGGGGACACTACAACAGTCCTAAGTATGAAGACTGATCATAAATCACTTTTTCCAGTGTTGTCATAATGGTCATTAAATAAATGAGCATAAATCGAGGACTACTTCTATATCTCAGTAACACAATATTTCCAAACAAGGCACCCTAATTCTCAAATTTAAAAAAAATCATTCTGCTCAGTTCCAAACCACTTTGTTGAAGACTTCTGAAGCTGGAGATGGTAAAAATAAGTCAGAAACCTAACACTAGCTATAAAACAAGGCAGCAATAAATACAAAGATGTATGTTAGCTAATCAGTGCCCTTCCAATATTAAAAAATGTTAGAAACAAAACTGCTGATCTTGCTACTTCAATTTTTAATTCATTCCAAATAAGCTTGATCAAAATCTACACTGGGACTTCTTCCTGAATAGGGGTGTCCATGGGTAGTCTAAAAAGGGCAAAATGGTCAGGACTACAGGACAGAAGCCTCATCCTTCTTTAGGTGTGCCACATGAGAGTAAGGGACTATGAAAATAACCATGGCAATAGCTAGACAAGAGATACTCCAGCCCACAGAAGGAATGGAGAATGCATCTCAGAAGGGACCCTTCGTAGTTCTTTGGAAAGTAAAGGCAGGGGAGTGGGGAAGTGCTTTCAGATTTGAAAAATTTTATTATTGCAACCACATATTAGTGTTAGTACTAACGGTTTTGGCTTCTTGTCTGGACTATTTCAAAGGGCTGACATATGGCATATATTACCATGTACAAAAGGGTACATGGTAAAACAATTTCATGACCCTTTAGCGGCAATCATTAAGTTAATCGATGGCTCAATATGAGTGCAGTTTTGCCAAAAATTGAAAGTAAATGCTGGTTTTCAACAATTCACATTTCATTCTTTTCCTCCTTTTGCATCCTTTCTTTAATGATTCTATTCCACCATTTCTTTGATATTATTTCTTTGATATTATTTCTTTGATATTTTGTCCAGCAACGAGTTGTCCTGTGGCGAGTTGTCCGGTAGCGAGTTGGCCATAGCAAATTGTCATAGACCCAGGGCAGAATGAACTGCCATGATAACTCTCCCCTCCTCTTAAAACATTCTCAACATTGAAAATGTCAAAACTAAAGACATGTTAACAGATGAAACCTGAAGCATAATAGACTGGCATTTATTCTTCTTAGATAAGAAGTGGGGAGGTTCTTTTCAGGGTTTTGAGACAACATTGTTAGTGAGAGGAATATTCAGATTTACTAAATAAGAGGGACAAAATGTTGAACACAACCTGAACCTGAACACAAATGGATTATTCTTTACTGTAATCCTTTGAAAATAGTAATACATTTCACTTTAATTCACATCTTAGTTCCATTTGTCTCTGAATTAATTCCTATCTCACCCTCTAACAGGCAGGCAGAGTTTGAAAGACACCATGTATTAATTATTAGGATTTTACACTTTAAGTAAGTGGCACAGGGCGGCATGTAGTATTACAGACACTCCTCGACTTGCAACCATAATGGAGCCAGTCCATCACAGCTGTAAGTTGTAAATCATAAATCAGGTCAGCCATGTCACTGGTCCAATTTCATGACCCTTTAGCAGCAATCATTAAGTTAATCGATGGCTCAATATGAGTGCAGTTTTGCCAAAAACTGAAAGTAAATACCGGTTTTCAGCAAAATTGTCGTAAAAAGTGATCATATGACCATGGAATGCTACAAATGCTTGCAAATGCGTCAGCTGTTGAGCACCCGACATGCATTCATGTGGCTGTGTGTCAAACTTCAAATCCAGGTTGTAAGTATCCCCTAATAGGTCTGCCATAACTTCAAACAGTTGCTAAGGGACTAATTGTAAGGAGAAGACTACTTGTAACTATAAGAGAAACAAGAGCTTATGTTACCATTTCAAATGGATATCAATGTAAATTCTAAAGTACAATGCAATTATTCACTATTATGCAATTTGATCACTGTATAAAGTAGTTTGGGAGAGGGGAGAAAATCCACTCCTTTCTACCTTCAATTCCCCAACAGTTTCAGATCTAAGGAGTTTTTATAATTTTTCAGATTACTCTCACTAGAAAAATCCATTTGGTTGAAATACATGTTACATGCAATCCAAAATTACTGGAGAAAAATAAAGGATGCAGAATAAAGCAAAAGCATAGCAAGCAGACTGAAGAACACACTGTATTGCGCAAGTGATCAGAAGTTCAAACATTGAAGCGGGAAGGGGGGAAGCATGTTTAAATTGGTCCTTTGAGTAGCTACATTCTGGAATTGCTGAATATGAAGAGTGTGCAAACGCATAAACAAAAGTTTTAAAATAAAATACAAAAGATAACTAAGTCAGTCCTGTTGTACTCTAAAATACAGGGGAAGGAATTTAACTCTGCATTACAAAATTAGGGTCTATTTGCATTGGTAATGAAGTTGGTGTGCAGAGAGCAGAATTGCTCCAAAACAAAGCCCTACCCAGAGAAAGAGCAAATACCAAGGATAGGAAGAGCAATGTGAATAACAGCAACGCAGCCGATAAATATACTGCGATTACTGGATCTTGCCAAACAATATAGAAAAAAGCAAATATGTGATAGAGATCTTTTTATTTTAAAGCATAGGTCAGAAAGAACAGTTTCCTGATCTTTTTTATAGTGTGCACGAACTAAGTCAACCTTAGTTCAGTGAAATCTTACAAAGAGATCTTGAGTAAGATGAGACACAGCAAAAATTGCTCCTCTCTGTGTGGGGAATCTATTTAAAGAACATTTAGCCACTGTTCTTCAGTCACTATGATCCCTTTGTAGACTTCATTTCACTTTCAATGAAGTGATTGTTGAATGGCAGGAGATGGGGAGAGAAGAGGAGCAAGAAATCCAGATAGCTGCTTGTTTTTTGGCTTCTGATAGTCCCTGGATGCAGCTGTACTCACTGTACAAATTCCTGTTCAGCATTTTTGGATACCATTCCATTTGTCTGGAGTAACATAAATTATCTAGTTCGCCATCTCCTCTCTCTATTATTAACTTAAGCTCCAAGAAACAAAACAGGAACATATTTTTGCATTTTCAGTCATCTACTGCTTATAGTAGAACATGCAGCACAGTCTAAACAAGCCATTGTTTAAATTTGGATTGTTCAATAAACACAAGTTAACATTAAACACTCTTTAAGATCCCATACTATAAACAGCAATTAGTTGAAAAATCCACAGATGTAGTATCTTTCTACTTCTGGGATAATGCTTCACACCTGGAAGCAGGTAAATAGGATGGAAACATGTCCAGTCCTCCTTATCCAGACTATCTATGCTATTTTTCAGCACCTATATGAGATGGCTGTATTGTTCCTTTTGAAACCATTACATTCCCATGACAACTGAGCTATAAGACAACTTTATTTTAAATCACTTTTACTGATCATTTAAATATTACTTACTGGTATTTATTCTTATCTTTAATACGAAATATCCATTTATTTCAGTGTTTCATCTTCACTCTGTCATAAATTAACTGATTGAAGAACATGTCATCCCATTCTAAGGGCTGGTTCCAGTAGTGAAATGTAAAATTTCTTACTACCGGTTCTGTGGGCGTGGCTTGGTGGGGGGTAATGTGACTGGGTGGGTGTGGCCAAGTTTTTTTTTTTTACTTTTAAAAGCATTTTTTCTACAACCTCTTCGGCCAAAGAGGTTGTTAAAAAAATGCTTTTAAAAGGCTCTGACGATCCCAGCTGAGCTGCGTGATCATCAGAGGCTTTTTTTTTTTACTTTTAAAAGCATTTGTAGAAAAAATGCTTTTAAAAGTAAAAAAAAAAGCCTCTGATGATCACGCGGCTCAGCTGGGCATGGGGGGGGCAGGGATTTCTGCTACCGGTTCTCCAAACCACCCACCGCCATCGCTACCGGATCAGGCGATCCGGTCCGAACCGGGAGCATTTCACCCCTGGCTGGTTCCCATATTGATAAGAATTCAAGAAATGGCTTTATAACAGACACCTGAAAGCTCATTCATCATCATCATCCTCACCACCACCACCGATAAAAAAGCCAGCTCAGAGAAAAGCAATTAGAAATGAAATTACAAGATGATCTTTAAAATTTTGAAAGACCAATTGGATTTAATAGGAAATAGTTCACTTGCTGAAATTCTTATAATCCTCTGTCTTTCATTTCACAAATGTTGTTACAGACAAGTATGTGATCTGTGCTTGGGAAAAGAATGACTTTCTATTTCAGTCAATCAACAAAGAATCTAATACTTCTCCAAAATA